AATAGGGGAGCAGTCCATCGCCTATAACCCCATCATTCTTGACGCGCGTCATTTCGCTACGAAATGCCTAATAGGGGTGTATCACAAACGGTTCCTTCACACGAATAATGAGTCCGTCGTAAACGAGCTGAGACAAGAGTTTTATATTATTGGACTCAGGAGAAGGTTGCGTTCCCTAGCTAAAAGCTACATAATCTGTCGTATGCGTCGCGCGAAGGCCAACAACTCTCCCATGGCCGATTTGCCTCGGTGTCACGTGGCCCACAATCAACGACCGTTTTCTCATTGCGGGGTGGACTATTTCGGCCCAATGCTTGTTAAAATAGGGAGACGCCGAGAAAAACGGTGGGGAGTTTTATTTACCTGTATGACTACTAGGGCGATTCACCTCGAACTGGCGAATAGCTTGAGTGCAAGCTCAGCTATAATGGCCATACAACGTTTTGCTTGTCGGAGGGGATTTCCGCGCGCGATGTACAGCGACAACGGCACTAACTTCGCCAAGGCCAGCAAAGAATTACGGGACGCGGTGTTAGGCCTAGACAATAACAAACTCAGACAGTACTGCGATACCAAGAGCTTCGAGTGGCACTTTAACCCTCCTGAGGCGCCACACATGGGGGGAGCCTGGGAGCGACAAGTCCGTTCCGTAAAGATAGCGCTGAATCACGCGCTCAAAGATCATGTCCAGTTTGAAGAAGTTTTGATAACGCTTCTCGCCGAAATCGAACACATGGTTAACTCGCGTCCGCTCACTCATGTTTCCGTAGATCCACGTGACGAAGAAGCGCTAACACCCAATCACTTTCTGATAGGCTCGTCGTCCGGGCAATTGCGGCTAGAAAGATACGAAAGCGAAATTCTAAACCCGCGTAAAACATTCGAGATAGCGCAACTCAAGCCTTTTGGAAGAAGTGGCTACGAGAATATCTCCCTACGCTTCTACCGCGAAAGAAGTGGCACTCTCCCGAGCCGCAGCTAAAAGTTGGAGACATCGTTCTCATATTAGATTATCAGGCGTCGCGCAACTCGTGGAGAAATGGCAAAATCATCGAAATTTATCCGAACGCATCCGACGGAATTGTCCGAGTTGCCAAAGTCCGAGTGGGCAAAAGCGAATTAATAAGACCGGTCCATAAACTCGTCAAAATTTGCGACTCTCTATAGGTCAAAATGATTTCATTTTCACGGGGGGAGGATGTTACGGATCGAAAAAAGTAGACGTCCACAGCTGTGGAACGTCTGCTCGGAAGACACCAGCAATATTTCTACCTCGGTTACGCGTTGAACAAAGTGCGGTAAACCGTGATTCATGACGCGGCGCGCCAGAGAAAACCCGAATTTTCTTCTTCGGTAAGAGGCCTTAGACAATAAAGTATATGCGAAGCGCTAGCGACTCGATACGTCAAAACATGGTGGGAAAGTGTGTCGTCGCGACCATCCGCCTCCGCCGTAAATACATGTCAGAAATTGATTGAAACGGCCACTCTCCATGGCTTCGCTCGTTTGACGAGCATGGCTGCTATTGGGCAGATCCAGGGCCGTACGCTACAGCTCGGGAAGGAGATACGGGCCGTGCCACTTCCCGAGGCTGCCATGACCTACGGCAGATGATTTTTTTTTGGTCTTACGGCCCGGCAATAACATAAGGGTTATTCCCGGGGCCGCCCGGTGAACCACGAGCGAAGCGGAGGGAAGTGCGACACTGGCCTCCTTCAGACCTCATTTATCTACGCCTATGCAAAAAATGACAAGGAGAGGGAACGCCGAGTGAATGAAGCGGGGAGTGGAAAAAAAAGCGACGACACTCTATCCTGACCTCTCGAGCAGTGCAGTCTTGTCCACGCGTGCGATTAATTCAAAAACCTTATAGCTGACCTTGTGAAATAAAATTAACAAAAAAAAAACAATAAGGTAGTTGCTTATTCTTGCTCTCCTGTCCCCAACACTGTACTCGTCGCCGGTTCCGTCAAGCAATGAACGTAAATGCACGTCTGCACTATTGTACACACACAAAGCCGCTCAAATTCTTCGTATGAATACACGCAGGTGTCGTCTCCAGCCGACGGTTATCGCAGAACAGCTGAATGGATAGACTTAACGGTAGCGGAAGGAGTCGAAAGGTTGATGAGTCTTAAAGCGAGACTTACTGAATGATTTCCTGAACAGAACTTCCAACTTCGTCACCGAGTTCCCCTTAACAGGAAAACTCACCGAGTACATCACTACTCCCTTTTTAGACCCTTAGCGAAGGTCAATGGGATTTTTGGCTGACCCACCCGTAGTATAACCCACCTGGACCATCCTTGCTAATAGCGCTGTTAGTGCTGTATGTGATTCATGACGCGCACTAAAGCGGCGAACCTTAAACCATAAACTAATTCCCGGCTAATGGTTCGAAGTGCGTTTTCTCCAAATCGTTAGTAAAGACATGTTGCGAAAATATGTCTAGTTTAGCGCACCTTTTTCTTATTATTTTACTACCTAAAGGGGAAATCGTATAGGATCTTGCTGCCAGGAGGACAACACGTGGAATAGACACGATCTACGTATTCTAATGTTAAGGAGTGCGATAAGCGCGACCATTCCGCACGCCTTCGGCCGCAGAATGAACCTCTGTACTAAGTCCTTCCATTACACTTGTGGCACTTCTAGCCCCGCCTGGTCGTTATCTTCTGTAGAGTCCATAGGTTGATCCAGCTTGAGTGGTGCTAAACAGGTGATGTGTCGTCGAAGCTCATTGTTGGCTGTCTTGACGGTGACCACTCGTACTAGATCGTCGTTACCTGGATGTAGTTCGATCACACGCCCCAAGGCCACTTGGTGGCTGGATAGCGATCGTCCTTGAGCAGCAAAAATTGACCAATCTTGAAGTTGTCATGTGCAGTGCGTCATTTGCTTCTCTCTTGTAGTTGCAGGATATACTCACTCGACCAGCGTTTCCAGCATTAGTTACTGAGCCGCTGTAGGAGTTAATAACGGCGTTTCTTCGTTAGGAATGATGCTGGTCGGTGCATGAATGAGAAAGTGCGCTAGTGTTAATGCCTGGAAGTCTTCAGAGTCCGCCGTGAATGCACATAGCGGCTGAGAGTTGAGATGCTTCATTATGTGTTAACACGGTGGAGAACTCCTCAAACGTCAATCTGTGCTCTCTGATCGTTTTCTTCAGTAAATCCTTTGTGGACTTCATACCAGCTTCTAAGAACCCTCCGTAGTGCGGTGTATAGGGGGAGGGATGAAAGTCCAGGATATGCCGTCGTTGGCTAGTTCGGAAGCGATGTCCTGATAGAAGGATGATGATGCTTGAAACATAGTTCGAAGCTCAGCGTCGGCCCCTCGAAAAGTGGTCGAGTTGTTGCTGAAGAGCTTACAATTCCCTCTTCTGTTGACGAATCTGCGTAGCGTGAGTATAAATGTCTTTGACATCAGGTCGCTGACCAACTCTAAATGGATTGCTTTAGTGGTGAAGCAAATGAAGAGGGCAATATACCCTTTATAAGCATGTTGCCCGCGGCCCTTGAAAGTGCGTATGTAAACTGGTCCGGCATAATCCAATCCTGTTTTGGTAAATGCATGATAACCCATCCCGGTCAGCAGGGAGGTTGTCCATGAGGTTTAGAGCCAAGGGGGGCTTGTGGCGGTGACATAACACACATCGACGTATTGCTGTTTTGACAAGTCCTCGCATTTCTACAATCCACGCGAAACGTAACAATATATTCGTAGTAAGCGTAGGTCCACCGTGTAATGCCTTATGATGCGCAAAAAGTACAAGTAGACGACTAAACGCCGATACTTGCAGTAGTATCGGCGGATGCTTTACGTGGCACGGTAAGTTTACATTACCGAGCCGACCGCCGACTCGCAAGATGCCGTCATGTCCAAGGAAGGGCCTTAATCTATGCAACGGGTGACGTTTAGGCAGTTCCTAATGGCGTTCTAATAAGTCGATTTCGTCAGGATACGCGTGCAATTGCGCTACTCGGATCAGTGCACTCCTAGCATTGTCAAGGTCTACTGTCGTGAGATAATTCGAATACGAGCCTTGGCCGGCCTTATTACGTGTCCTCTGTAGCAATGGTCGCAAGCATCAGACTACTACTCGTATCAAGCGTGTCAATGTAGCGTATCGTGACAGGAATTAGGCTCAGCAATTCTCGACCGGGAGTGCAGCACCTGCAATTTGGCTAATGCCTTAGGCCATTTGTCTACCCGAGAGCTGAGCCAGAGAGGTCCTTGCCACCACAAGTCCATTATCTTCAGTTCGGTCGCCACGACTCTGCGAGTCGCTAGATCCGTGGGGTTTTGTTTCGTGGAAACGTGAGCCCAAGAAGCTCCGTTTGGATCAGGGAAATGCGGTTTGCCACGAAAGTCTTCCAGTGGTATGGGTGCTTCTTGAGCCCAGTCAGCACAATTTGGCTATCTGACCATAAACGGATCGGCGCGTTCTTCAAAAACTCGAGTTTGAGCAAGTGACACACGAGTTTTACAAGTAGGGTTGGGTTGCTCCGAAAAGTTCGAGGTTGGGAATACTTATGGTTTTGACCGGCGAGATCTTCGTCTTCGCGCTGACCAGTGTGACCCGAAAGCTACCGCTTCCGTCGTCGATACGGAGATATACTACGGCTGCATACGCTCGGAAGGACGCGTCTGAAAATCCGTGGATCTCAAAAGACTTGCCTTGCGACAGACCAAGCCAGCGGTTTATTGATAGTGTGGGAAGGCCTATCGTAGATTGACAATAGTGTTGTTAAATACGTCGGCGGCGGGCTTACAATGAAATCCAAGCGTTTTGACGTTTACATTGTCATGTATCTCTTTGCCCGCGTTCGTGCAAGTCGGTTGCACTCGAAGGGGCAGTAAGTCAAAGTGATTTGCGGCCCACTTGTCAAGATTGATACCCGCCGACCTAAAAATGTCTATGAGCTCATTTCTCTTTCGTACCTCTGTTGAGAGTTCGTCAGCTCTCGTAAAGATATCGTCAACATAAGTGTTTGTATCTAAACACTGCACCTCGAGATGGTCGTTAATCGGTAATCTGTGATGGGTACGGACGGTGACGGGAACCACACAATCCTTTGAAAGTCTTGGTCCTCGGGAACGATACGTATTTGCCGAAACATCTTGACGATGTCGCCTGTGAATGAATACCGATAACGACGCCAGTTCAAAAGAACCAGTGAGAGGTCGCTTTGAAGGGGCGGACCTGCGATGAGGAAGTCGTTGAGACACTGATTCTCCTGAGTCTTCCGAGAGGCGTCGAATACGAAACGAATCTTGGAATGAACTGGCGTTTTAGATAACACGGCGTGATGAGGCAAATACCACGAACGCGACTTGTTTACCTCGGCGCGTGGAATGGGCTCCATATGTCCTAGCTTGAGATATGTTTTCATAAAATCTGTGTAAGCGGCCGCAAGTTTGGGATCATGTGCTAAGCGTTGATGTTGGTGCCTTAGCGAGCCTAGAGCCATTCGGCGTGTCTCGATGCCTACTAGCGGGGATTTGCCTATCACTGGGAGTCTGACTTGAAATTGGCCGTTCGTGACTCGCGTATGCGTCTCGACGAACAAGGTTTCGCAAGCTTCATTGCTCGGCTTCAGAGGCTTCGTTGCATTGGGAACCTCTTCAATTGTCCAAATTCGCTGAATGACTTCGCTGAGGTCGTCATTAATAACGCAACAAAGCACCTTGACCGTTGAATGACTCTTCGTTCAATTAGGCTCCACTAACCGTGCGGAGCTCCCTTGAGTCGGACCGGATATAATCCACCCCAGGGCCGTGTTCTGTGCAACCAGTCGAGTCTTGTGAAAACGCTTAAGATCCGAACGCAATAGTTGGGCATATAGGTCTGCTTCTAACAAAAGGTTAACTCTGTTGGAACGACTGAACTCCGGATCCGCTAGGACCACAGTACGGAATACGTTTAAGTTGAACTCAACAAGATCCTTCGGTGGCAAATCCGTGGTAAGACGCGAAAAAACAAACGCGTTAACATTGAGCTTGAAGTCTTGGTCAAGCTGGAATTTAATGAAGAAATTGGTAGCAGATCGGGCTATTCCAGCTTCGCAGCCCCCAACGCCCGTAAGGCTCATTTGAACGCGATCCTTCTGTAATCCAAGCACCAAGGATTCCGAGATGAAGGTGGCTTCCGAGCCTTGATCGAGGAGAGCGCGGGCGCGAACTTCACGGCCGGGAGGGCCGGCCACGATGACCTGAGCTGTAGCAAGAAGAATGGGGCATTCGATGACAAAAGCGTTTGTGCTAAAGGCGTTTAGCGAGGCCATTGGAGCGGAAATCTGGGCAACATTCGCGCTTACTTGTGGCATGGGACTGATTTTAGTCGAGGTTGAGTAATCCTTTGAACCGGAGGTACGCAGACGATGTAGCAAAGAGTGGTGTTTCTCTCGGCACACCTTCTACGTATACATCGACCTACAGTCCTGTACCTTATGCTGGCCTAGACAATTGAATCATAGCTTCAATTTCCGCGCTATCTCGCGTCCTTCCACCTCCTTTTCCCTGTCGCAAAAGGTAGGTCAACGTGCGATGAAATTGTTGCCCGAGCAAAATGCGCATTTTGAAGCCTTTCTTTTGTGTGGCTGGGAGGGCGGATTTTGATTCCTTTTTTGCGCGTGATGAACTTTACGCGAAGAGTGAGGATGGCTACTGGAGAGCTGAGTAGATTTTTTATCCTCCTTATCAGCATGAATGACGGACAGAGACTAGGCACGTTTTTTTAGGAACGCCGCTAAATTCACGAACTTCGGGAAGTGCACCATGTCACCTCGTCATTCGCGTCCTCGTTCACGCTAAGCGATATTTGGCGACCTCGCGCGATCACATCTGATTCCCAGATGCGTCTGGATTCAGGGTCTATTCTAACTTCTATTGTTTGTACGAGCGACATATCCCAATAGGCTACCGGCACCTTTAAGTTTGTAAGCGTTCGTACGATTCTTTGGGTCTCATCAGCAAATGCGCGTAACTCCATGACGTATTCCTTCTTGATGTAAAGAAGATTAGCTAGCGCGTCTAGTAAGCGATTGTCCGTCAATCGAGGATTGTAAAACCGATCCATCAGCGCCTTCCAGGTCGATGCATAATTGATCCCTAATATCGCGACGTTATTCACGAGCTCGGCCGCCAAGTCCTTCAGACACGATTTTAGATATTGTAATTTGGTGGTGTCCCTGATGCGCGTAGCTTATGCACGAGAGTCGTGAAAATGTTCGCGAAGCTATTAGCTACTATTAGCTGATAGACTTACACCACTATAAATGATATTTCTCTGTATTCACGCACTCCTCACCCGGGGCACCATGTTTAATTCAGAAAATTAAGGAAATGGGCAAAGGAAGTGGGTTTTCCCCAAATCGTAGTAAAAAACATGTTGCGAAAATATGTCTAGTTTAGCGCACCATTTTTTTATTTTTTACTATCCAAAGGGGAAATCGTATAGGATCTTGCTGCCAAGAGGACAACACGTGGAATAGACACGATCTAAGTATTCTAATGTTAAGAAGCGCGATAAACGCGAACACGCTACTTTATTTGAACACCCTACCTTCTTGCGCCGATAACCGCTTTCGAATTTCCGACTTTCACACTCCTTAGCTAACATAACGATTTTGCGCTGATCCGGCCGTCCTGCCGCCGACGCTACGAGCACTGGACCTGGGAGGACGACTACGTCCAGGAATTTCAGACTTCGTTTATTCGACCATTCCCTATTTATTACTTTATATATTCACGGGGTAAACCGGGCTAAATCCCCGTTATATAATTTTGCGCCCAACGTGAGATAAATTTTATTTTCGTTCACGCGTCGACAACTCAACAACTCGCGAAGGCTGCTTTATTGACATTCCAAAGTCGATCGAGCGCATACCATACCAAGACGACTTCGCTCACACGGTGTCAAGTTCACTATTACTTGCCGGTTTGTTGACATTCTACAGATTGATCGCGAGCGTACCGAAATATTGTACACAAGTCCGGAACAAAAGGAAAATTTTATATATTCTAGAAATTAAGTGACGTCGTGTGTAAGCAAAGGCGCTCACGCAAAAGCACGGGAAAAACAGTTACACTGATATATATATCCGCGGCTGCTTAATTTAAAATAAAAGTTATTACGCATTTACGTAGATGTTATACATGTAATATTGTTCATCAGTCGTTTTATTATTTGTTGTAATTCTCGAGCAAGAATAGAAATTTGGTAATTAAATAACGCTTCGCTCAAGGATATTAATTGACACAATGTTGAATACATGGGACAGAAAATTAGGAATTTTCAAAGCCGATGTTGATAGACGTATGTACGACTGGATACGCGGCTTACGAAGTGACAAACTGAATATTGCATTAAACCAGCTCGAATTACATACTCGAAGGATCTCTGTTTGCGGGTGCGATACGTTTATACAATATACTAAAAGGAGACTAAACTGCAGAAGATTTTATAAAAATAAGTGAACCAGATGATACAGCCAAAAGTATCACAGATGACCTGTGTTTACCGTTCATTCAAGGCGACGTAATACTTGTCGACCTTAAGAACGACTTCATCAATTCGGTTATAGATGCAATGGAGAAAGAAAATCAAAACGATAATGCTTCAGAAACTGAACAACTACTGGCCAGCTCTACGTGTAATACAGAGCCATCAGATATGTCGCTTACAACAACAGCAGAGACAAACTTAGCATTATCCAGCAATACGCATTCAATTCATGCCGTAGACCGCCTAGTCATAAACGAGTTCAATACACATCAAACAGATGCGCTAACGCAAGGAATACGAACACAAGTAACGACAAAGATCACAGAAACAATTACAACAATGACCGACGTGTCCACGAAACCGATAACCTCTACGATGTCGGATCTCTTCTTAACGGTGTGCAACACAGGAACACTATCGAAATGGTCAAGCTACGCGGCTCCGAGGGCATCCACGCAACGATATGACCCTCTCATTAAAATGCATCTGCCGAACGGTATCGTCTAATCAATTCCCAAACCCGCCGCATGTGAATTACAACGTGCTTTGATAGCAGAACAAAATTTAATATCATCTTGCGATAAATTAGCGGAAGAAGCTAAAAGGTTAGAGAATGAAATCGCAAATAAAAATTCGGAAATAAACGCACTGAAAAACACTAACTTGCATATGCAAATGTAAATGGTTGTGGCGAGTGCGCAAACGCTACCGTCAGAGATGCAAAACCGTGCAAACGCAAACCGAGGCTCGAGAAACGTACAGTTTCAGGATACGTACAATTTAATTGAAGATGAACTAGACCAAATAGAAGATCTGTCGTTGCTCCAACTAGGCTCAAGATTAAACCCCAATGCGCAACTTTTTCACTCAACAACGAAAACGCCAGTGTCACCGGCTCTACATCCGTCACCTACGGCGCATCACCCTTTGCCTTCGCATATGACCTTTGCAACACAAACACCGGCTAACATCCCCGCATGCTCGAGCTGCGGGAGGGGGTCCTAGCTCCAGAGCCTCAGTTCTCGCTCTCGCAAGCATGCGGTACACGGACGGGCGCGGTTGATGATACAACGGGCCCTACAGCGAATACACATAGCTATTCGGACATAGTGCAAACAGGCTTCAGAGGTAGACACCTCGGCAAAATGATACGAGAATGGAAACTTAAGTTCTCGGGAGTAGCCGGCGCACAGTGGGGATTGAAAACGGTCTTCACTAAATTCAACTTTCAAGGCGAACCATATGTGGAAATTCGATGAATTTTTTTTTAAATAACTATTGAATGATTCTGCAGAGATCTCTCGAACCCAAATATAGATATTGTTTTTTATCGTCTCTAACTGACTATGAAAGTAAATAAAAGCAGAAATTCGTGGCATAATTAATTTTTTTTTACGCTAAAACTAATAGTGATCGATCAAAATGTGGCTTAAAATCTCATCTTCTAACTTCATAGAATACGTGAAAATTTTTTTGACCCAAAATCTAACATGTATTTCTTTTAAAGGTCACTTGAAGGTCAATACTATTTTTTATGTCAAATTTGCGGCTCATTGGATTTCAAACATGCTAAATCACTAACTTAGAGTATAATGTATTCTTTTCTCAAAGTAACTGGAAGGTAGGTACTTTTTTCAATATCATTTGAAGGTCAATACTATTTGTTACGATTAAACGACTATTCTTCGAATTGGAAATATACGACATGACTAATTTGGTGTGCAGGAAATGATTTTCTTTGACCCATAAACCTCAAATCCGCAAATCTCAAATCCGCAAGCCCTACAATTTGTAGGTTAAACCTACTAACCTCAAAGTTTGTGGATTATTTGTTAGGGTTTTTAGATTTGGGATTCCTAGAGTTAGGGTTTGTGAGGGTTTGTGGATTTGTGGTCTGTGATTTGGAGTTTGGGGGTTGGGGTTTGTGGGTTTGTTGCATTGAAGAAATGGCTACTTTATTTACACAATGGGATCTCGTAAGTGTTCTAATGACCCTGATCAATTTTGCTATATTTGTGGCCGTTTTACGTTTGAGAACAAAAAAGTAGGTATCAATGAATCTATTAAAACTCAATATGAAACTTACTTTAATATGCCAATTTCTCATCAAGATAAGCCGTGGGCTCCACATGTTGCATGTAAATCATGCGTTGCATCGTTAAATCGTTGGAATAATGCTACGAGCACGACGACACCAATGCCTTTCAAAACACCTATGATTTGGCGAGAACAATCTAATCATGATGAATGTTATTTCTGCTTGACTAAAACTATTGGATTTAACAGTAAAAATGCACATAAAATAGAATACCCCAATGTCTTGAGTGTAACAAAAACCATTTCTTATGATTCTCATGATAAACCTCTGATTCCTCCTCTCTTACAGCAAAAAGTTAAAGATGATGAAATCCTCGATAAAAGTGATTTATATGATGCAGATTTTTGTGACTCTGATCCTATTCTCTTTGATCAAGCTGCACTAAATGATTTAGTTAGAGATTTGGATTTACCTAAAGATAAGTCCGAGCTACTTGGTTCACGACTGAAGGAAAGAAATCTTTTAACTTCTGGAACAACTTTTGCGTGGTACAGACATCGAGAAAAATCTTTAATAGAATTTTTTTCTCAAGGCGATAACTACGTCTATTGCAGTAATATTAAAGGCTTAATGCAAAACTTTAAACTAACTTATAATCCTGAAGATTGGAGATTATTTATTGACTCATCTAAGAGGAGTTTAAAAGCAGTTTTGTTGCATAACACAAATAAATATGCTTC